ATATATATTTATATATATATATAAAATTGAATCACTGTATCACTGAATCACTGTAAAATTACAGTGATTCAGTACTCACTAAAATGAGTTCAGAAAATCCATAATTATTCATTTCATAAATCACGACACGCTGCTCCCCTGTACATAAGCTGCCTTTACAAGTTTAAAGTATAGCTATTGGTAGTACTGGCCTGATATTTACTTGGTACTAGATCAAAACCCAAATTTGCAGTACGGCACAGCACTGGTGACTCTGGTCCACCTCCTCTCTGTGAGGATGCACTCGCCTTTAGAATCAGCCTCATGTGGCCGTTAGAGGAACTGCAGTTTTTCGCTTCATTGTTTCTGGCATGTTCCCAGGAAGCTCATTTTCATGAGTAAAATCACTCTCCAAACTGGGACTCACAGAAGCATCTGAGACAAATCAGGAAAATCAGCAGAAGCTCTGACACGAATAAATCTGAAGTCCCACAGAGGCTGTAGAAAAATCATCTCCACTCTTTACACGATCAGATGTGTGTGTGAGGAAGGATTAATAGGGATAATGTCAAAGACGACAACAATGGTGCTAATCTGTCTGCTGCCACACTCACAGCACACGACTCTCGGATGGAATACAGTAAAATACAGATGATCATTAATTAATCAGGTCATATCAATGAAGCTGTAAGCACCAGGTGAGATGCAGATGTTGCCTCAGCTGTCACAGGTGGTTGAGATGCTTGTGGAGTTTGTGCTTTGGTTTGCTGAGAGGACCGACGCTTCTCGTCGCTCGAGTCAAAGTTGGTCTGTGATTTAAAGATGAGCCAAAATCTTCTGTGACGCGTTTTCTTTGTTCTGGACTGAATTTCTCACTATATCAATAAAAGAATAATTGAATAAAAACGGAAAAAAACTGACAATGTTACACAAAAAAGAAAAAAAAAGAAATATACGAAATAGTGTTTTTATTTCTAAACACTGGTCACAAAAAATCGTACATTTGTGTCTCTTCAGCGGTTCTCACAAAATGTTTTCATCTTTTTCGTGGTTATTTTTGCCTCATCGTATTTCACGTCGTTTTATTTTTGTAATCATTTTCTGTAGTTTGGTGATTTCTTTGTGCTCGGATTGTGTTGTTTTGCAGTCAGTGCATGGATTGCTTTGTTGTTGTTTTGTGTCTTCGAATTGTTTCATGACGTTTCCATATGTTTGTTTTTATGTTGTTGTTGTTTTTTTTATCCTTTTAGTAGTGTGTCTGTTTTTATATGTTTTTGTGGTGATGCGTTTTAATCGTTTGTTTCATGTGCATTTATAGGAGTGTTTTGTCGTCGTCGTTGTTGTTTTTGCTATCATTTTTGTGTCTTTTGGTAATTTTGTGTTGGTTTGGTAATTTTTGTGTGTGTTGTGAGACAGTTTTTGTCTACAATCTTGTTTCTCTGTTACATAGGCGTTTTATTTCCTTTTCTTTTGCTCTGTCCATTTCAAGGTGTTTTTCTCTTTTAAGATTATTTTTGTCTTCTTAAAACTGTAGAAAGTTGTTTAATGGTCATTTTATATTTGTTTAGGTAAATGTGTGCTGCTTTCACGTGGTTTTGTCTTCTGTAATATTTTGCATACACTTATTTTTGCCTACTCATTGCATGCAGATGCTTGAGTCTTTTTCTTTTTGTCTATTTCTGGTAGTTTTGTGTCTTTGTCATTACTGATGTCTCTTTATAGATCCTTTGTGTATTTGTGTTTTTTGTGTCTCGTTGAAGTGTTTTTGTTCTTATTGTGGTTTGTGTCTATTTATGGTATTTGCCGTCTCCTGTGGTGCTTTCTTTTCTCTTTGATGTAGATCTCAAGATGAGATGGGGTCTTGCGGGTTTCCTCCTCCGGGTACTCCGGCTTCCTACCACAGCTGTGTCTGTTTGGTGTGGATGCAAAGTGGATGAAGCATTTCATCCACTTTGCGTGGATGAAATGCTTGAAAAGTGCTTTGAGTGAAAAGTGCTTTGAGTGATCAGTAAGAGCAGAAAAGCATCTGATGAGGTCATATGTGATGTATTCAGTCTGTGTCAGTCAGAAACGCTAGACTCGAGTCTACGAGGCTTTATTTAAAGTTTGAAATAATAAGACTGTACAAGCTCAGGCTGTTAGAGCAGCTGGAGAAAGCCCTGCCTGAGTGACTGCTCTTGATTTAAAAACTCTGGAAAGAAGCCAGGAAGTAAAGCAGGCGCTGGTTTTTTCTTCTTAAAGACAATCATGATGAGGGCTTCGGCTTCCATCAACACTTAAAACACTTAATTTATATTTAATGCTTTGATGCTGTAAAGGTTTCATGGTAAGTGGAAGGACAAAACACTGCAGAGGAGTCATGAATGTTTTATTGTCTGTAATGGGACGCTGGTTAGAAAACTGAAAGCTGAGAGCAGCGCTTCAAACAAACCACCTGATGCAGCAGGCGACCTTCAACAAACTGAACTTGCTTCATGTTGATCACTGCGAGGAGCCACACCTGAGTGAGGACACACAGCAGGTCCAGATGTTTCTGCTCACTGGCATATCAAACTAAAAGAATCAAACAGCTGGTTAGTCCCCTTTCCGGACTTTCCTAGGATGGTGACGGGACCGGTTCGGTTTGCCTGTCTGCATGGATGTGTTTTTATGTGACGTGGGGCTCGATCCAATTAAGAAGAGAACATCTGGAGTTGACTCTGGTTCAGACGTACAACTTTACTTTACTGTTCCACGATTGGTCGAAAGTGGACATCTCACATCTCTTAAGAACGCCGCCTGCTAAAAAACACATTATATAAAATAAAGTCACCAGCAGGCCTGAACAGAGCAAATTAGAAAGAACCTTCCACTGGATAATTACTACAGCGATTAATTTGGTTCAAGGGATTTAACACTAGCTGATGCAGCTGCAGTGAGCAACTCTGGTGGTCGTGGGAAAAGACGTTATACTCTGAGATTATCAGCCAAGAGCCTTTGTCATAGCCCAACAGCCTCTAACTGAGCATCAGAGGCCTGACATGGAGACGTCCACCTTCCAGACTTGAGCGTGAAATCCTGAAGATGAATTCAAAACTTGGATTTTTAGGGGAGTGAACTAAATTATTGCTGAGGAAAGACCAGGCACTGTTAACACCAGACTTACTGTGAAGCATGGGGGTGATAGCATTATGTGTGGGGTTGCTTCTCAGGTTCACAGATTGGTCTGATATGAAGGGAACTAATTAATGCAGGTTCACACAAAGACGTTCAAAGTCCTCTCGGCATCTAGGCGGCCCAGATGAAACAGCCAGGAGTGAAGCAGCTCCTTAATCTGCTAGTTCAGGGGTGGGCAATTCCAGGGCTCGAGGGCCGGTGTCCTGCGGGTTTTAGATCTCACCTTGGGTCAACACACCTGAATCACATGATTAGTTCGTTACCAGGCCTCTGGAGAACTTCAGGACATGTTGAGGAGCTAATTTAGCCATTTAAATCAGCTGTGTTGGTTCAAGGACACATCTACAACCTGCAGGGACACCGGCCCTCGAGGCCTGGAGTTGCCCACCCCTGGGCTAGTTCAGCAGCGTCTAGAGCAGGGGTGGCCAACTCCAGGCCTCGAGAGCTGGTGTCCTACAGCTTTTGGATGTGTCCTTGAACCAACACAGCTGGTTTAAATGGCTAAATTACCACCTCAACATTTCTTGAAGTTATCCAGAGGCCTGGTAATGAATAATCATTTGATTCAGGTGTGTTGACTCAGGGTGAGATCTAAAACCTGGAGGACACCGACTCACGAGGCCTGGAGTTAGACACCCCTGGTCTAGAGTTTACCAGCAAACCGTGAGCGTTGGTGGCTTCAGGCGCCTCATCTGGAGGATTTTCATTCAACTCTTAACAAAATTCTCCGATTTTAATTTATAGTAGAGGAAATAATTAGTGACCATGCAATTTGCATCATCAAAACAAATACCTGCACAAATGTAAATATTCAAAACAGTGTGCAGTTAAGGGAGCGCCTGCAGACTGTAACAGGACTTTATCCTTTCTGCTGGCCCAGGAACAATCTAACATGAAGACGGGGTAAAGTGTGTGTCAGCTCTTTTTGAAATTTAGAGCAAACACAAACAAAATGTGCAAGTCAAGGAAGACATTCAGGTAGATGGATGAGGTCACAGAAAACTCCAAACATTGGTGAAAACAAAATTCAGCAGAGATGAGTTGATGTTTGACATACCTGCTTCATTTCACTTACAGTGGCTTGCAAAAGTATTCGGCTCCCTTGAACTTTTCCACATTTTGTCAGCCACAAACATGAATCAATTTTATTGGAATTCCACATGAAAGACCAACACAAAGTGGTGTACAATCAGACATTATTTTCGTTCCACTTCGTTTTTAACAAATAAATAACTGAGAAGTGGGGTGTGTGTAATTATTCAGCCCTCTGAGTCAATACTTCGTAGAACCACCTTTTGCTGCAATTACAGCTGCCAGTCTTTTAGGGTATGTCTCTACCAGCTCTGCACATCTGAATGTGTACGGAAAGGACAAAGGACATGTGAGGGGGCTGAATAATTACACACACCCCACTTTGCAGTTATTTATTTGTAAAAAATGTTTGGAATCATGTATGATTTTCGTTCCACTTCTCACGTGTACACCACTTTGTGTTGGTCTTTCACGTGGAATTCCAATAAAATTGATTCATTTTTTTGGCTGTAATGTGACAAAAGGTGGAAAAGTTCAAGGGGGCCGAATACCTTTTCAAGCCACTGTATATCAACAGCACGTAGCTGGGAGGATATTTTCCTGCTACAGTTAGACCCCTCCCACATCACGCTCAAACCAAACCTCTACCTGAAGCTGGAGCCCGGATCAGCTGACCGGTGGTCCGCGCTGTGACGGTGGGTGTTGATGTTGTGGCTGAGGAAACAAATGAGAAGCTAAGGCAGAGGAAGTGCTCTTGCATCAAAAGTTTTCTTTTAATGCTGAAAATTTATCCACTCCACATGGAAGAGACACAACAAGCACTGAACTACGACCGTGTGATTCACGAGCTGGAAATCAACTCTCCAAAAACCGTTTCTCTCCTCAGACGGGTGGATCCTTATAACTTAGACAGCAATTTTCTGTTCTTTTATTCTTCTCCTTCTGTTTGTCTACACAAACCTGAAAGCTTAGAAAATAACCAATGCGAGAGCGAGACAGTATCTTCTGCAGGGATCCTCCTGCAGAGAGAAGAACATCTATGAAACATAACTTAACGGGGCACTCCATGAATGACTCGTATAACAGTAAATTACAAAGGCAGCGGGAGAAACTCCGGCGTATTTACACTTCATCATTTATTCAGTACAAAGTTCAGGTGTGGTCTGTGGTTAACGGAGGGAGGTGAGGAACGTTTCAGACACGTCAAAGTGAAACCAGCAGCGTACAATCAGGTCCACGCCCCCCTCCCACGCCAAACAGGAGGGGGGTGAGGTGGATTCAGGGTCTAATGGGTATGTTTGGCAGTCTGCCGTTCAACCCAGATGTCTCTTCGATCTCCGGCTCCTCTGGGGAGCCCGGCGGAGCCTCGACCTGGTCAGACTCCTTCTTGTCCAGTTCCTGCTGAGCTTGAATCTTTCGGATAAGCTCCTTGATCTCCTCGCGCTTCGTTTTCATCCTCTGCTGAGGGAACCACTCCAACAGGTTCATTGGCAGGTGGAAGCTGGGAATCGGATTCTGTACGGAAAGGACGAAGGACAAATGTCACTTACAGAGCAGCCTGAATTTTCAACTCCTGACCAGAACTGCACCGATGTCCAACTCTATAAAGCTCTCACCTCAAAGAAGCTCTCCACATACTGCAGGATGTAAACGCCACAGTCGCTGAAGTTGTCCTGCTGAGGGACGCGTGGGCTGGAACCCTTCATGACGTCCTTCCCAAAACTCCTTTGAGTGCCTTTACGCACCTCCCACTCTACCTCCAGGTACCTAAAACAAACGCAGACGCAGTCAGACGCCACGAAACCCACAGAGCAGGTCCGAGTAGCCTCAACGTTAAAGCATTTTATGCACTCCAAGCAGATTACTTCTATGATTGATAAATGGAGGCAACTGATTGGTCGCTGGGAAGATGCGTCAGCACAGGTGCTGTGTGTGTGTGTGTGTGTGTGTGTGTGTGTGTGTGTGTGTGTGTGTGTGTGTGTGTGTGT